CTGCAGCGTCTGACCAAGTGACTACTTGCGTTCTTGCTGCGTCTGGGCATGTCCGGATTGATGTCGGACAACACTCCAAGTATTGCATGAACCACTGGCCGGCCCGGCGGAGCCATGGAGATAGTGAGCTCTGTGGCAATGGTTCGTGAGCCTGAGCATAAAAAGGCTTGATGTAGGCACGGCCAGCTCTATTCCCTGATGCAGTGACCGAAAAACTCAATCTGCCTGCCATCTTAGAAGCATCTCCTGCAGTCAGCACGTTGCTGTCAAGCATCTGCTGCAAAACAGCTTGGTATCTTTTTGCTTTGTCAGGATTTACACGTGTAAAGACCTTCTGCTCAGCCCAGGAAACACTCACTAGGGCGCCCAGCACCACCAGGTTCCAGGTTGCATCGTCATCTTTGGCATGATCTGTTGGGAAGCCAAGCAGCCGGGACATGATTGTCAGCACCTTGGCTGCCGAGAATACTACTCCTGTTTTGGAGGCACCAAAATAATCATCCACATAGCGGCAAGCAGGGGCTTTGAAGAGGCGCACCAAAATCAGCCACATCATGTGACCTACACGGTGCCATGCATACACGGCTGACACCGTGTCAAATGGCATCCCAAAATGCTGTGAGATCCATAATTGTCCATGAGACTTCCACACCGTCCATGCAAACTCATGGTGCTCAGCCGCCACAGGAACTCTTCGAAAAGCCTTTGAAATATCTCTTTTCCACATTTCTGCTGTCGTACCATGCATCATGAACTTCTGCAGAATGGAGACCAGCGAGTCTATTGAGTCGTGGTGGATTTTGTCGACCGGTGCGGTCGCTGTATTAACACCACTCTCAGTTTCATGGTCAACAATGCGGGTGCGCCATCCAGTCGATCTTTCTTCCCGCACTGGTATACGCCTGGTCAAGGACTTGTTGGCCAAGTCACCCGGCACCAGTAATCGCGGTGAGGACATGAAGCCACTTTCTGAATCTTCCAAAGTTTGCTCCAAAATATCACAACTGTGCGGCAATTCAACTACTAGAGACTGAAGAACCCGGTCATTGAAAACTTCACGGCCCGTCCTCAACTCCTCCACAGAAAGTAAAGGTATGGAGCAGGAAGCTGTAGCATACCCTTCACAGGGTGGAAGGCAGCCCACTAACGGAAAACCTTGCTGCAAAGCTGGTAAAAATAAAGACCCATCAACGTGAAGCTCATGACACAACCACTGCCACGAAGGACCATGAATCCGGGCCACCAGCTGCTGCAAGTTTGCGGGAGCTTGCATGGCCCAGGTGTGCTGCACGGGCTCCAATTCTGCTGCAATCATCAAAAAGCGCTGCAGGAGATTCTGCCTAAATGCATCAATCTCACTACTCGACAGGGAAAGCTCGAAGGTGATGGCTTCCTCAAGGTCAGGCTCCATCACAATTGCTTCACATGCTGGATGCTGCACTTTGATGGCAAAATAGACATGCTGCACAGGTGTCAAGCCTTCAATGGCCCCAGCCCCCCATGGCACAAAGCGCGGACCAGACTGCGCAGTTTGCACCATTGCACGCTCCACTTGTTGCAACAAGTGCGGCAGGTCTGAGTGATGCACCGCCATGGGAACGGGCGATGAGGTATGAAGAGCAAGCTCCCTGGCAGCCAAGGCCTTCTTGAGAAGGTGTGCAAACCTACAGCCCAGCAAAGGCGGATAGGTCTGAGCCAGCCTTGTGCGAAAAACACGCCGACCCTCCCATTCCACAACTCCACGAAGTGGAATTGTTGGGCTAGGCCATTCATACACAGTTTGGTCCAACATGTGCAAAGTGGGCATGTTGTGCAAAAACAATGTGGGCTTCGAAAAAGGGACCCCAAAATCAGAATAGAAAATCTTCACCAATTCCACTCCCTTGAGAGCACGGAGTTTCACAAACGGATCCAACAGCCAAAGCCAGGATAGTTCAGGGTTTTCGACCGAGAAATAGCAATCCTGCTGCCACAGCAAAATGCACATATCAGCAGTAAATTCAAGGAGAGAATTTCCAGTTGCCACAAGCTCCGCTTGGTGTCCGAGCAAAGTGGACCGTCCAAAAGGAAACTCCGTGCTTCTCAACTGTGGTGCGCGAGCCCAAGTCAGTGATTGACATGGCACTGCAAAGTGGGCAGCAGCAATTTTTCCCTGCGACGCTAGGAGAAGAAGGATGTGACCATATGAACGCACATCGTGCTTAGGGCCAAATTTGAGATCCCACGGCTGTAGCGTGGGCACATCACAGGCCATTGCTGCTAAGGTGAAAACGGCTTCTCCACAAAAAACTTCAACAAACCAAGAGCTTGTTGATTCATCTAATGAACCAGCCAGCCAAGAGCACGCAGGAAGCAGTTGGAGAGCACCAGACAATGATTGCAGCCCCAGCGCACACCCCTCAGTGTCACCAGGAACGACATCACTTTGTGGTCAGCGTTGTTTACGTTTGTCCTGCTGCTGCTGCCGCCTTTGATTCTGCTTGGAGAACCAATTTTGGGTCTTTAGCTGGCGCTTGCTTACGCCACCATCCTGGCTCGCTGCCGCAGAAGATTTTGCCAAGAGCTGAGCCTGAACCTCACTCAACTTCTTACTGGCAGCATCAGCTCGCTTCTGAGCTTGCTCAGCAGCCGCAAGTTGCCGTGCCACATCCGCACTGGAAGAGGTTGTGGATGATGTTGCGGCGGATGGCATTTGTTGCGAAACATCGTCTTGTATGCCCACCTCTTGCAAAACTTGGCTCAACCTTTGTCTTGCCAATTCGAGGATGTCCTTGTCAATTTTCTGCGACTCCATGGCAATGTCCAGGGATGGATCACGTTTGTCTGCCCGACGGGCCCACTGACGGCGCAGCAGATCATCATAAAGAAAAGCCAGATAAGGAGCACGACCTTTGATCTTCTCTTGCTCGCAGATTTGGAGAATCACATCCAGGTGACCAAACACAACTGGCCAAGTCATCTGTCCAGTTGCCACCGCCGTAGTTGCATACCTGACAAATGCAGCGACCCACTGCTGGACATTGCGAAAGAATCTGGGGGTTGCAGTGGCCCCTTTGAGGGCCTTTGACAAATCACTCAACGACCCTATGGAGTGATGGCCTACAAGCTTGGACTCTTCTTCATCTCGCAAAGTGAACTTACCACCAACAGAGTCTGCTGGCAACCACAATGGAAGAACCTCTTTGCTGGTCAGATCCACATAAGTGAAGGGCACGTGGCTCTGAGCCTTTGCTTCCTCTGAGGCTACCTGCAAAGTGGTGTACAAGGACTGATCCGCCTGCACATGAAAGCCAAGTTTGCTAAGACCACACTGCTGCAGTAGGTCCGCTACATCCGGCACTTTGGATGGAGCCAAAGCGGACGCCAGCAACTTTGCAGAAACAGGAGTGGACGCCAAAGCCGACTTTGCAGTCGCCTGCGCAAGTCGAGCTTTGTCCAAAGCTTCAACACTTCTAACCAAGCGGCGAATCAACGCTGAGGCTGGCAAAGAAGCTGGTAGTTGAAGTTTGTCCAAATCTGCTTCAGCGACACCGCTGGCTGCATTCGGATTTGGGAGCTTGGCAACATCAACCAGGAACTGCACTGCCTCCTTCAGCACATCGTCTGCCGGCTTCACCGTCTCCGTTGAACTGATCAGATCAGTCCAGGATGTCGCCATTGGCTCCAAAATGAAAGGAACAAGAAAATTCCTGCAAGGGCGTTGAGCCGCAGGCTGCCCAGTCCTTCAAATCTCAAATTGTGCACACCAACAATTCCTTCAGCTTTGTTGGCACAACAAAATAAACTGCGCAAGATCGACACATACCTATGCCTATCCTTGCTCCCACGCACACACACACAAGGAGGGTCCACACGAGCGCGTTGAATTTTCTCTGGCAAAATGTGGACCCCTTCTGGCGGCCGCGCCTGGGCCACATGCGTCACTCTCTTCCATGTTACGCGGCTGCCGCAGAGTGGCATGCTGCCATGTCTACACATCTTTTCCCTCCAGCGCTCCGCCATAGTGACCACAAAATGAAAGTAAACCCTTTCGCCTCCTCCTCTAACTATATTCGTCTTTACATCGCAGTTTTGTAATTACATCTACTCCCCCGCGCCCCCACGTAATCAAAGTTGAGGGTCAAGCGAGCCTCTCTAGGATCAACATTGCTAAACAGCGGGGTCGGGGGGAACTGAGACGACCGCAATGCTCCGATTCAATTAAGCAGTCGGATTCCCTTTGTCCGCTCCACTTCTGATCGTTGTTCACTGCGCAGGGAACATCCCGGAACACATTCCAAATCCGGCGTGTGGGCAATTGAAGCCTGTTTGTAGTTTCTGAGAAAAGGGGTCTTGGGAGGGTTCTGCAAGTTGCTTTGTCGATTGGTTTTTGAACGGGATTATACATCTTGCAATGAGGACAGGCAGTCTTGCAAATGCCACTAGAGCTGCAGTACAATACCACTAACACGCCACTAACTCCTGCGGTTGGATTACTGCATGTCTCTGGCACAATGCCACAAACCAAACTCTGGCGATAGAGATGAATAACGGAATTCAATCAAAAACATTGGCAACGTCAATTGCTAGTTAGAGATTGATAATGGCATCTCGCAAAATATATTTGGATTTCGATCTGGAAGGGTTCGCTGCATTTCACGTAAGGTTATTTCATGTCGCCACTTTTCTTGGGACTTCGACCCGGGAGAGTTGGTGGTCTTTCACGCATCGTTCGAGGCCATTGCTGCACTGCTATTGGGTAACGCCAAGCACTGCGGCTAAACAGTGATGCTGGTGCACGACCCTGATTTTGAGGCTACCAAACCAAAAGGAAGACGTGACAACATGGCCCCCTCGCAGTAATTATCTGGTTCAATTTAGATCCACCCATTGGCTAACATGGCCCCCTTCTTTACTCTGATCATCCGCACCATGTTCTCCGGGTTCCCCACCAGGTCGGCACCGGGTTCCTTTCTTGCCCCGTTTCCGATCCGATCCGACGGACTTTGTCGATCGGGCTCCTCATAGAAGCGCACGCCCTGGAGACGCCATTTGCTGGTGGCGCCCTTGTGAGGCACCAAACGCCACTGGCTGGAAGAGAAGGAATGCTCACTGACGTTTGGGCAACTCTCAATGGACTTGTCCTCTTGAAAGCGGATTTGAGGCCGGATAAATGGAGAGCTTAGATTAAAGGTCGGTGTGAGCTTTCTATTTTCTTGGTTGTGAGTGCCCCTGGCATCTGGGATTGCTTCAATCCTTACTAAACTGGCAACTCTAACCAGGTCCAGCAACCTTACCACGGTATTCTTTGCTTGAACACACCTTGAAACCTAGACCTATAGACACGTAAAAAAAGCTTGTGAGATGGTGACTTGGAAAAAAACATGCCACGGCGCATGCAATTGAACAAAATCATTCACTGCGATGTGGACACCATTTTTGGATAGAAAGAGAAGGAAAGAAGGAGAAGTGGCGCCCCTTTCCCACCTTGGCAAGCCAAGTGCCTAGGGATTCATCCCCCAACTGCCCCCCCAATCCATGGAAGACCTGAGAAGTCTGTTGCATGCCAAACAGCTGGGCTGCGAAGGCCCTCCGACTGGGACTCACGTGAGATGGAACGCATGGGTCTGCATCTGCTTGTCGCACTTCATTAACTGTAGCTTTCCACCCGTACCCCCAGGTAGTTGTCAACTACCCCAAAAACCGCCCCAAAGCCAACCCAACATTGAAAGGTTCCTGACTCCGGTTCCCCTCACCGCTAAGTGGTGGGCGCACCCAAGCTGCCGGACGCATAAAACCTAGTCCTGAAAACCTCATTGCGTATATTGAGTAATGTATAATCTGTATAATCAACTCCAGTCAAACGAGGTGAAACATGGTCAAACTGACCTGGGTCGGCTGTCCTCGATACTTCTCTCAGCAAAGATCTGCGAGTCACCAAGATCATTCTGTGCCACCACCCGTAGGCTGCTGCAGTTGCCCAACGGCGTGTCACTCGGCACCTGCGTGATGGGTGGAACCCATGTGGAATCCACCCGGCCCGGCAGGTGACGCCCGACCGGGAAGGCCGGAGAAGCATGGTTTCATGGATGGTTTTGAGGAGGGCAGGCAATAGTTTCATGGCGTGACATTGTTACTAATTGGGAGTGATGCCGTTGTTACTAGTAAAGTTACTAGTAGCTTCTTGTTACTAGTAAGTTTGCCAAATGGCCAAATGGAGCTGAAAACCACCGGTGACATGGGCTGTGACAACACAATGATGCCCAGGTCCTCTGACCGTTCTGATCGACTGTCCAACAGAAGAAACCGATTGAACATCCGCAGATTAAAAGGTGTCCGTGATGCTTGTTTGGCAATGCTCATGTGTACCAAAGGATTCCAACACCTCTACAAAGATGCAGTGGGTTGTAGGTTCTTCAAGCCCTTGGCATGGGGTCTGTTGGGATGTTTGTAGGCTTTAGACATGTGTTTTTTTAAAAGCGTAAATCGATTGATCGGGATAGATCATGGAGAAGAGCAAATACCTTCAGATCAAGCCATAAAACACTGTCCAACTATGTCCAACTACAACAATTTGTATGTCTTAAAAAGACAACGGTGCTCATCATCTATTGTCAAACAATTGTTTGACACGTGGAGCGTGGACATCCCCAAAACGACTCGGACCAACGCTGACAGCGAAACCTCTCCACCCAGTTCACGCACCTGGAAGCTGGTCGTGCCAACTGACACCTGTCCCAAGACAACCAGCTGACTTCCGCACTCGGCGCGGATGCTGTAATGTGTGATGCTGGAGACATCAGCGGGCTCGTCCCAAATGAGCCCACCGCCAATCTCACCCACAGTCAGGTCGGAATCCACGAAAAACCTTGAATGTCAATGTCAAGATCTCGGTCCATCCTCTCTAGAAAGTTGCGACTAGCAAACTAATTAGCAAAAACAACAGCCTTTTCACCACCAAGACATGAAGCGGTTTGGGTCTGGGTTGGTGAACACATCTATGTTTCATTGTGTTTTTCACTGGGTCGATCTGGGTGGCCTTGTACTTATTGTCTTTGTATTGCTAGCACGCCACAAGTTCAAGACCGCGAGGAGTGGCAAGAAGCGATCCACCACTGCGACGTAAGAGCCAGTGAGGGCCTCCCCTGCCGCGTTCTTGGTGAAAACACCCAAATGGGTAAAGTTCCCAAGCACCTCAACATGCCAGATCGCGCCAGCTGGCACACCCCAGCCCCAGGGCACTAGATGATGAAACTGGTTTTCACTCTTGAGAAGGAGCCTGGTTTCTCAGGTCACTGAGAGCTAGATGTTGCCAGCACTGCTCTTCCAAAAGAGTCAACCCTAGATTCTAGATTGAAACGAATGTGAAACACTGCGAGACAAATACCCCGAGCGGAACACCGCTTGTACTTTTTTCTTGGAACTGGACCAACTGACTAACAGTTGGGCCGGGGGGTGAGAAAGGAGGATGCCGGATGCCCCATTCCCGCCTGGCCATCGGCGATGAGAAAGGTGTCGATTCCATAGGCCGACTGGCCCAAGAGCTGCAAGTTGGTCGGCATGAAGCCATCATCCTCAATAGTTTCGTTGGCCAAATAACCCTGGACAAAATAAAACTGAACAAAGAGAAGGATCAACAAATACCCACCACAGAGCACCACCACCATCCACCAATGACCACTTACCACCCACCAACCACCACCATCACCACTTCTGGAGCTCTCGGTCGACCTACCAATTTCCAGGTGGCGATGTCCCAAGTTGCAAGGAACTATCGATCCACCTACCTGTCACCTGAAATCTTCCTTACCTACTAGTAGCTTCTTGCTCCGTTCGTAGCGATGGCCTCCAACCTACTTGTGATGGCCACCTAATAGCAACCTTGCTCCTCTTCGTTTTCTCCCAAAGACTCTGCCCAGGTCTCTGTCAAGTAGACTCGGTACTCCGTGAACTGCGAAGCGCCCGCGGGGTTGGCGGGCGCCGCCCAGGCCACGGTGCCACCCACCTGTCCGGTGCCCGGATCGGTGTCCACGAAGGTGACGGAGGAGACGATGGCCACCGGCGCCGCCAAGTCGGTGAGTGTGATCGCTTGCCCGGGACCTTCACCTCGAGTCCGGTGAAGGAGCCATTCGGTTCCCGGAGGGATAAAGGGATTTCTGTAGCTTCTCCTGTAGAAAACTCCGGAAGTCATAATTAACAAAAGAAGTAAAACCAAGTTGAGCAAGGACTGCAAAGTCGTTGGGAACATGAGGGACCCGCACGTGTTGGTCGATGTTGTCTTTCCTTTTATCCGTTTTGAGCTGTCTACTCATTTTGACTCCTAGCCTGGTCTACACTTGTACTCTAGAGACTCTTGTTCGGACAATGGCAACTGATCCTAACACAATGATCCATGTATTTTGTATACCCATGTTCAAAGCCACAAGACTCCAGCTGCACATGTTGGATCTTCGAGATCTGTTTCCCTTGCACAAACAGTTTCAGTGTAGAGCTGCAAGTCTGCATTTCTCTTGAAGGATTGCTTTGACTCCAATCAAGAGGACACCCGTTCTCTCTCGCACGCCAGCAACCACTCCACGGCTAGAAACAAAGTACAACGAGTCGCCAAATCCGTTGTTCGTGAACACGATGATGTGAGTAAATGTGCTCAAACCACTCCCCAAGGATGTTCCCAGTGGAATTGCGCAGCTCTGGATGCCAATGGCAATGCTTGCACACATCGTCAGGCGCCCCGTGCCGGAGGCATCTTGTGCAAAAACTACCTTATCAGTCAGTCATACCAAAAGGAGCTTTACATCATCTTTACTTCTATGAATCTGTCTATCTATCTGTTCACACACATTTGTGTATACAGAATCTTGTACCTATTTTTGTTCAGAACGGGTGGCTGGTGACTAGTAACTAACGCTACATAAAATTAGCAGGACCCCTACTACACTTCAATAGTTTCTCTGGCAAAAGAATCACACTACATACCATGGTTGTGCTGTGTGTGTGTGCAACGGATTGAAAGTGAAAGCCTAGCGATCCCGCAAAGGTCACCGAGGATTTTGCAATAGTCTTTTCAAACATGACATCCTTGCCAACAACACTTTGCCATGTGCGTCTCAAATAACTCATCCATCAATTCAACTCACTCTTTGGCATGTCGCTAAAAAACTGTGAACGATGGCCCTGGGTGCCTGCCAAAAGTCTGGTTGTTTTCCAGGCAAAGTGAGGTTTGCAAATGAACACGGTTTTGGGCAGCTTGGATGGAAGATCGTTAAGCCTAACTTTTGCCCAGCCACTGAATAATGAGTCAGGCCCGCTGTATTCGCGGGAGCCAGCCATGTGACGGATCCACCCACCTGCTGAACGACGCTGTCGGCATCTGCAAAAGCCACGCTACTCACTGCCACGGTGGGAAAGAAATTGGTCTTGTCGACCAAGGATGTGCTTATTCCACTGAGACCTCAGTTGCCATAGATTAGGAGAACACCAACACCAAGTGAACCTGTCGCATCCGGAAATATCACAGCTCCCAAGAAACACCCTGCAAAAACACCAAAGAGAGTTTCCAAGAGTTGAACACCACCCTCCAGATCCAAGCTACTTTCGCCCACAGCATTCTTGCTGAATGCTAAAAGGTGAGTGGCGGTCGGTGGGATGGTGTTCAGTGAAATGGTAAAGACTGCTGATGTGCTTGCTCCCGGCAAGCTTGCAATGGAGATTTCACCAATCAGCTGTACTTGAGTGGAGGAGTCAGCCGTGCTGGAGCTGCCATAGTAGGCCGTGTATGAAGTTACATCACCTCAAGCTTCTTGACAGCTGATCGTCAGGACAAACAAACAGCCTGGCCTAGCCTTTCAAAGTCATTGAGATAATCGTACAAATGGCTTTGTAGTCTAGTCTAGTCTGGCATCCTTAGCAAAACCAAAACCAGGTGTGTTTGGGAAGGCAATTGAATCATATTGAATCATGTTTGCTTATATGACTCAATAGTTGGTGGAATCATAGGGAACGTAGATCCGTCTTATATAACCCTAAATACTTTGAGCATGCGAGTCGATGAAACGAGACGAGATTCTTCATGAGTTGCACTCGGAATAATCCATGGATTGGGCATATCATCCCATTCCCTGGGCCCAGTGGATGACGATGGTTCTGTTGCAGGCCTTTGTCCAATGGTCCAAAATAGTGATCATTGTTTGAATAACTACCAACTATTACTGGTAATGGGCCACCCCCAAATCATCGTTACGTGCACAATCCCCTGGCAACAGGGAATCTATGATTCTTGGGCGGCAACCAAACATATAGGCTTCTAATGTCCATTCTGCCCGCAACTGTATAATCAACTGGCGGCATTGGGAGTTTTGTCAACTCCTCATATCATATCTTCCCAAACTAGAATACCTGGAGTTTTGATAAGCAACGAATGGGGCAAAAGAAACACATTCCAAGCTGGTGACTCTCGTCTGTGGCTCTCATGACAGTTAAAGATCCTCCAATCTCTCCTGCATCCATGTCCTCAAGTGTCAAACATGTGCAAAGCTTTTGGGAATGCTACCACACATGAATCAACTCCAGAATCTAAGAGGATTGAAATAACCACTCCCAGTTTGACTGCATAGCAGCCTAGCAAACACCTGGCTCCTCATTTACAGGATTGTACAGGCCGCAGGACTAAACAAAACAGAATTCACCAAAGTGGTCGCTCTGAGTGTCAAGATCATCAAACTGAATCTGGCTTGGGAGGTTGATGGGATAAGCGCTATCCACCAAGGTCATAGAAACACCAGTGGTCATATAGCCAAAGTGGTTCCCGCTGAGCACCAACAAATATTCGGCCGTGCTCGGCTTGCTGGTACCTGCAGGAATGCTGTAGTTCAAATAACTCCCTTGCTCTAAATCCACAATCCTGAGCTGTGCGTTCTTCCAAATGTTCACATATGTTCACCACAAACAGGCTTTCAAGTCGCACAAACCAGGCCAAGGCTAAGGTTTCATCATATTATATCATATTTATTTTTCGAGTGGCAGACCCTGGCATTCACCTTGGCTTTTGTCGCATCGCATGGAATATGGAATACGAGCTTAGAGATCCGATTTCGACCAGTGCAAACGAGAATCAATGACACTGGTTGCTGGAACATGTCCTTACTGCTGACTGTCCCGTCCCGATCGGGACACGAAGCTGGCTGATGGACGATTCGAAGCAGAACAGCACGTGCTGTTTGATCTGGGGGATACACATGGTTGATGGTGTGTCCTAAATGATCCTGTATAAATGGTTATCTGAGGTGCAACACTTTGCCCTACAATCGAGTTGTTTGCTTTGAACGAGTAGTTGGACTGTGACAAAGCAGCATAGGGAATGCAAACACACTGCCCAAAGTAAACATAGAACTGAAAGCACACCTGTTGGACACATTCTACCCTACCGAAGTTACCAAACAGTGGATTTGTACGGATTTATGGTTTTATCTCAGTTTGTAGGCCTTGAAACACATTCAGTCAGGACTCTGCAAAATAGAGTCCATACTTGGTAATGTCGGTTTCGGTGGCAGCCGCAGTGACTTCCACCGTCCCTGCGATGAATCCAGAGAGCAAATCTTCATCTTGAAAAGAGATGGCTTGGGCCTGGTACTGCGGGACGTATCCTCAGTCCAAACACCCCTTGGCATGGCCAAAAACACTGTGAGAATTGAGAATGTTTCTGGCATGCTAAAAACCACACAACCCTTATGTATATAATAGACTACTATATTTTTGCCTTTGTGCCCTACCTGATGCAAGCATTGAAACTCTTCAGAGCTCGACGAAGGAAGAAACACACAGGGCTCGACGGCTTCTTCCTGCTCAGCTTCGATCCACCAGTGGGATCCCAATGCCATTGTCCATCTCCCCATCCGCACTTCGACTCCGCACCAGCAAATATGGATAGCTACCTGGTGAGAAGGACAATGATTTTGCACATCACTCCACCCACCAGGACGGTGAGCTGGTGGACGATGATTGAGGACTGGAGTTTGAAAAATCGGGGTTCCGTTGAGTTCACCCAAGTTCACCCCTTGGCAAAAGGAAAGTAACAGCGGACGATGATGATTTTCGGTTGCAGGCTTTTCTCTAATACATAGTAATAATTTTTTTGGGGGGTTGACTGTTGCAGGTAATAGGACACCCCAAAAGTGTAGTGTAGTCTTCCTTTTGGGGCCATGCCATCCACTTCCACTTCCATGTGATGTGATCTTCAGAGTGTGAGTGTTGCCGTCCATCACTCAAGACGTGGGTGGGAGCCATCAAATGAGACCCTCTGTAGACCCCCATGCTAGGACTGGATTGCACGTGCCTTAACAAAAAAACATAACGTAGAAAAGAACACCAGGTCTGCTCCAGGAGACGGTTGCTTAACCTTCATGCTGAACACTCCAATGTTCTCCAGTTTTTGGCTTAAAACAAAAAAACCTTCACACTCCCTGAGATCATAATGGTTGCGTGAATGGCATATTATGGCATATGCCCCAAAGACTCGGATGGCCATGAAATCCTCATACCAAACATGTGGTCAACTCCACGAAACCCATCATGATTTCCATGAGTGGAGGGCTATTATATAGTGTTTTGTCCTTCACCACATGTCTGTAAAATGGTCATCCAACAGGCCATGCTCCACGAAACCATGATGATTTCAGGGTGCACCCAGTTGGCCAAAATGCACCCTAACCTTCTTCTTGCAATGCTCGCTGATACTGATACAGCTGTGGGACATGGCACCAAGAGACCGTGCCGCGTGAAACATGGACTAAGAATGACTGAGATCCTGATACTGATACTGAACTAGCTTGCTTCCCTGGGAATGCATTGCTCAGTTGATCCCTAAAACCTGTGACTCAGTCGCCACTCATGGTTCTGATTGAGTCAGTTCACATCCCAGCAGTCCATTCACTGCTCCAGCAAATCACCAAGCAATCCACGGTCAGACCGAGCGACTGGGCATGGCGGTATCCGTCGGCAAGAAGTACGCCACATCACTTCCGGTGGCCGTGGCCAATCCCACGAAGGGTCCAGGCGGACCATCAGAGCTGGTCGCAAAGTAGAGTGCATAGCCAGTGATGATGCTCCTGAACTCGTACAGGTCAGTGACCCTCATGACAAGGATGACTAGTGACTAGGTTAGGACCTCAAAGCTCAAAGATGTATTAGGTGATGGGTTAGAGTCCATGAAATGCAACGGAAGCCAGTCAAGACCATGATGCTGGATGGGTTTTGGCATCACAACAACTTTCTGCATTGATAACCTACCTGGGAGGTGAAAACTACATGGTGTTGGACCTCAGGGTGCTTGACCGAATATATAGCAGTATAGCTGACTGATCAAAATCATTCAAAACCGGGAGAACCCTTTTGTTGATGGTGACCTAAGGATACACACACAAGCACCAAAACATCAAGGGTTTGTGGCCCCCCTGACACAGTTTTGGGAGGTGAATGCACCTGCGATTTTGGAGGGTTCGCTTTCATTCGCCCCACCCATCGACGTGCTTTCGTCCACACACTCCCGGGAGAAGCGAGATAACACAATCCCCTGCTGTGAGGCTGTTGATCTTCACAAAGCCATGTTTGTTTGGCTCTCTTCAAGAGATGAAGTATGTGAGAAGACTGTGCTCCGGTGCCTGCCTGTGGTGCTTGGTGTTCGGTTGGCTGCTTGAATAGGTATTGGCCCCCCCCCCACAGCACTTGCTTTCAGCAGTTTAGTTTAGCAGGGAAAGTTTGCTGAATGCAAGGGGAGGCTCTCATCCACCGCTGCGCCCACAGTGATAAAACCTCAGCTGTGGAGAACCTCATGGAACCCAAACAATTCACCCTCCATGAACCACGGTAGACAATGTGACTATGCCCTACCCTGAAAATCACACCCAAATAAGGAAGTTTGTCATGCAGGGCCCCCTCTTTTGACCCACGACTGCAAGAACAAAGCTTTATTAGCTTGTGAGCCCCGCTTTCACTGCCAGTGGGTCCAAATCTTGAGGCTGAAACCCCAAAACCAATTCCGACATGGGGATAAGAGCCTTTGGACATACAAAAGCAAAGCAACATGGCCAAAAGCAAGTTAGATTTCCCGCCGTGGACACCCACAACCATGAACAATACAGGTGACCCATGATTCACCGCTTCTCACTGGACTTCCGACGGATTCCTTGCACAAAGTATCTAGCTCTTCCACGAAAAAAGACATGGCAAAGCCAAGAAACCACCAATCTCATTCTTCACCAAATCGAGATCTGTAAAGCTCAAGGACGTTGCATTCTCTTCAGGAAGGGCCCTGCAGGGGTTTAGGATCTGCACGGGGTCGGCAGCGGGGTAGCTGGACAACTCTTTGATTCCGATGTTTGGCCATGTTTGGCCATGGCTCGCTTTGGATTTGTATGGAAAACGCAACCATCAGACGCAATTGTTTTAACGTCGTTCTTGCAGGTCACCTTGCTTTTACACATGCTATTCTCTCCTCCGCGACCCATTTCGCGACTTGCCGGACGCGAACTCCTAGATCCGCTCGGCTTGATCCCGTGTACGTAAGTACTGTACATATATATAACTCGTGTGTCACTCATGGTTGTTTACCAGGGCGCTTAAACAAGACAAGCAAGCATGTTGCACCAACACAAGCCACCTGTCATAGGCACTGACTGATGCAATGCTTGCTTCATTCAGGCCATGGGCATTCATCGAATAGGCCAGGATGTGCGTGCCACCAGTCGGCACCAAGGCTCCATTGAAGTCATAGGTCAAGGGAGAACTGGCCACGGGCAAGGCAACGATGTACGACAAGAAGCTTGTCGGTGAGGAGCCCCAATACAAGACCTCGGATGAATGAACAGCTAGCAGCTACCGCCACTTAGCGGAGGGGCGAGAATCAGGGATGCACAAACATGGAATGCGGGCATCCCAACGCTGGTCAACGAAGCGGGACGCCCATGCCGAAAAAACAAACCATTCATACAAATAACCTTGACCTTTTGGAGAAAATTTTCAAATTGGTAGAAAGCCTCAAGATATACAAGTCAACCGAAAGAAGTCTTGGGGTTGGGGCACAATTAAACACATGAGTCACATGAGAGAATTTGAGTCACAAGCTTCTGCAATTTTATATAGTTTTATTACATCTTGCTTGTGAAATTACTGTTAAGCTGTAGAACATTGCCTGTATTGTTTCGTTTTAAAGGAACAATTGTGCTACTGTACACCAAAAACATATGTTCTTCAGCTCAGAGAAGAATCCATCGACTTGAACAAGTTAATAGCCACAAGTCACCTTTCCAAGGTAACAACTGGATTGTAAAGCAATTCAAACCTGCTGGACATTTATACACCATGTGTGAGGGACGCAATATCTCTTTGAGGACGTCTCGCTATGCCATTCGTTGCTTCAAGGAAACAAAGGTTTGTTTATTGATTGTTTTGCTGTCTCAGTTGCCAGAGTCTTGCACATTGTTGTGTACAAGTCTGGGTAACCTGAAAACAAAGGAGCATCAAAAATCAGAGTCAACGATCGATACATGTTTACAACACAAAAACTCCACAAAGGGCGGTGTTGGCTCCTCTGAATGGGGATGGCAAGTAGCATTAAGTACACTTCAAGCCTGGCAGTTCTTCAGTTCCTTGTTCGGGCCTCATCTGGCCGGATAAAGCAAGCAACCCTGGCACAACATCTTACGAACTACCTATTCTTCGTGTGTTGCAATGTGGTTAATTGCTTCTTTGCCTGGACCTAGGATGCCTGCAAGAAGTATTGGGAAGGAAAGCATTGGCTTTGGCTCACCAGCAGTGCTGATTCAACCCGAGAATTAAATGGAGTGCAACAAGCAGCAAGCAGCCGCACAATGTGTGGAAGGACTTAGACTTAGCCGAATAAGAGATTCGCAAGCCCGCTTCGGGGAAAGCAGTGTTGTTATCTATGTTTTTCTCGCTCCTCAGCAACAAAGGAAGAAACAAAAATGATTATTATATATAGTAACATATTAGTACTACATACGATCACGCGCGCTCACGTCCACGGGAAACGCAGACGAGCGTGTTGCTCGGCCGCAGGTCGAAGCAACTAGACACATCCCCAAAAGCATGCATTCAAAATTCGCAGACCGGGATTCGCCAGGATTCGATTTCACGTCCTGCGCCTTTGGCGAAGGCTCGTGCTATCATGATCCGACAGTCGTCGGTGTGGTAGGGTGTAGCCCCAGTCACGCACCCCTGAGGCAGTACTCTACCACACGACCGTGGCTTTGTAGAATTAAATTCGCCAGCAAAAGCTTGGACATTATCAAGCTTGGAGAGATGTAGCATTGCAGCACGGATGATTTTGTACACATCATAGAAAGTAACAAGTTGCGAGTCACCAACAATCTTGAAGCCGGAACAATGAAACACGACGGCGAGCTCACAAAAGCTAAAACTTTCAGAGTGATCCAAGCGCCAGTGCAAGCCAGCTAAAAACTTGCAAACCTCTTTCCAGTCATCAACGTGAGTCTTCCATTGCAGTGGCGGTGGGCACACAGATGGAATCTTGGCCTTCCAAGGATAGTGACGTTTTGGTAGGCCCCATGGCCACTGGCTAAATCTATTCTGGCAATCCTCCTTGCTGAACTGATCAGGCGATGCAAGATCGACATGGTCTTGCGTATTGCACATCTCATGTGTAGGAAGCAAATGATGTAGCCTGATCAACCATTCATGATGCCTTTGAATGGCACGTTCTGCAGCTTCTTGAGCATCAAGGCACACAGGTGAAAGTTTCTTGGCCAACATATTCGCAGTTCTGTCGCACAACCTATTGTTCAGGATGTGCTCAACCGTAGAGCCAGCAGCTCGGGCGAGGTCTTCAGTCAATAAACTGTCAGGTACCCTCTCTAGTCGGTGAGCTGGAATCCAGGACACATGAAACGGCTGCGGACAAAGCTGTTGACGCTGGCCAAGAACCTTCGCGAAAGTGCGCCACCATTCTGCGCGCTTCCAGTTGGGATCAACCGAGCCTCCTTGACAAAGCAAGTTAACATTCTTTGCAACAGAGGAACAATCGGTAAAGATATGGACACACGTAGATGCAGTAATGCAAACCCACAATACTGCCCACAGTTCAGCGGTGTAGGCAGACAAAGCCCAATGAGAAATCAAGCCTTGCTTGGTCACGTTCCTTGCCTCGTCAACGACTGCAAATGTGGAAGTCATAAGCCAAAACTTGTTCCCATTCACCATGGAGCCATCGGTCCAGAAGCGGCAACATCTGCCAGGGTCGAACTCAGCAGCAAGGGGAATATCACAAGCATGAGCAATTGCAGCCGTCGTCGTGCAATGAAAGGAGGGTGTTCAACATGTCCCAGCAATTGGAAGTTTCTTCCAAGTTCATCATTAGTCGGAGGCCCAATTGTTGCATGTAGGGCAGTGCACTCATGTACAAGGTGGAACATGGACTCTTTCACCTGCTGACAGAAGCGGCATGCGGAGGACTCCGACCACCCTGAGCCTGCAAGCCGGTCATTAGTCAGCGTGCAGCCAACCACGATAGATTCAAGGCGAAAACGGGCTGGGACCTCACCACTGTATGGTCCGGCAGGCAACTTTCTGAGAAGAGCAGTCGTCTGCTGATGGTCAAAAATGCCCTGGGTGCGTTGAAAGTCTTTCCGTTTGGAATCCCCAGTGGCTTTGTAGCAAGCATCTCTTGCAATATTCGCCAGGACTCGAGAGACATCCTTAGCACTCAAAGACACAATGGGTACGGCCTGTGAATTACGAAAAGAAATATCAAGCTGTTCAGTAATGTGAAGGCCTAAAACATCAACAGCATTCTGCAGTTGCTGAGCAAGTGAATGCGTGCCATGCGGATTGGCCCATGTTCTCTGCAGCATGGGCACTGTGTGAGGAAGCATGTGACACATGCGTACGACCTCAAGTACTGTGTTGAACGCACAAGCAATTTTGGGGTCAGTGCGATGGGGGGTTGACAAGACAGCTTGCAGTAGGTGCTTAGCCCTCCATTTCGGCCTCCCAACCCACAATGCTCGTGCAATCGCGTTTTGAACCGAGTTGAGGGCTTTCAGAGGAATCTTGGAAATGTGTGATCCAAACGCAAGTTGAGGTACAACTTTTGCTCCGATGAGAAAAACACGAGTGTTATGCGGCACCGGAAGAGCGGCGATATTATCAATATCTTCCAAAACCTTTTTCAGTCGGGAATCTTCAAAGCAAAAGGAGTTGCGCTCAGAGACATACATTTTGGTCCCAAGAACCTCAATCTCGAGGTGGACGGGATATTCAGGGAAAGAGGCTCTCGTTTCACGGCGACCATGTGCGGTAGTGGCCCACATCGAGGACTTGGCTGCATTCAGCTTCTGCCCCACAAGCTTGTCCCAAACAGCTGTGACCTCAAGAGCACGGTGCAACAAATGGCTGTGTTCGAGTTTGGCCCATAAATAGGCGTCGTCTATGAATGCTCTCACATAAACCTCAGGGATGTGCTCAAGGAGGTGACACCAGACCTTGTTGTAGGCATTCATAGCTAGAAGTGACAATGAACAACCTTGTGCGACTCCGTTGGCTGGATGAGTAGCGACTGGAGAGATCCATCGTCGAAAGGACAGGTGCCTATGAAGCCCTTGGTAAATCTTTAGAAAGACATTGACAAGGGCTTGTGGGAGACCAAACGCAAGGAACAGGACCCCGGCAAAGGCAGGTACTATCCTATCAAAGGCCTTCGCTTTATCCAACTTGATGCCGACAAGCGGCACGTTGTCAAGCTTCGCACAGTCGATGTGAAGGCGAAGATCATTGTAAAGGGTCGACATGGTTCGGCCGCGGATGCCACCTAAAATGTGAGACGGCATGATCTGCTGTTGCCACTGCTGGAGTTGTGCGTATCTAGATCCTGTGTATGCCAGCAGAAGGGCTGGGAGGACCGTGATGAGTCGCTTATTCATCGGAGTGGCAGGGCCGGGTTTATTTAGAATCACTTGCTTGGCGCAGGTTAGGGCGTTGGGAAGTGGGAGATCACTGGCTTCGATCAAGTTGAAAAACTTGGCAACCGGCTCAAGATCACAGGGATCAAAGTGTTTCAGCTCTTGGGTACGCCAACCATCTAGTCCTGGAGCTGCAATGTGCTTCCTTTTCTGAATAACCCTATGCAAATCCCTGGAAGAGATAGGGGGAAGCTCAATAGGTTGGTGCTGTTCTTTAATGAAAGGCCAGACCACTTCCAACATTTTCAAGGGGTGCTCAGCAAGGACATTAGCTGAGTACACCTCATCCCAAGCAGAGTTCAAGAAACCGAGGGCTTGTTCCGGCTGATAAATCACATTTCCATCATTATCGACAACCAAGTTGGTGGGCTCATCTTGTTGCTTGTTCTTTAAATGTTGGAAAATGTAGGAACAATTCGAGTGAACGGAATCGTGAATCCGCCGCTTCCATTGTTTGATGCGCTGGAGCCTGATTTCTGCATCAGTGAGAGACAGTGCTGATTCAGCCCACCGTTGTGCAATAAAAACTTCGGTGAGAGATGGATGACAAGGATTGTCCCACCCCACGGGTGCTCCTAAATCAACAAGGCTCCAATATGTTTTAAAGGCAAGCCTACGTGTGATGTGGCCATCTTCACATGTCGAAGAGATTCTGGAGAGGCGTGTGTACAATTCCCTTAGTCGACCAGCTAGGCGAGCAAAACGACTGCTCTTAGCGGTGGCTGCACATCTGGAGAGGAGCTGTTTTGGGGCCAACTTTTTCTTTTCAAAGACCGGTGGGGCAGCACGCTGCTTGGGGCCTTCACACCAAACTGCACCTTTGGCTTCAAGCGTGTCCGTCAAGTATTGGTTAAT